CTTAAGACTGGTTGTGTGGTCCAGGCTCACACACACACACACACACACACACATATATATATATATATATAAACTTACAACTTATTGTTGATAAATGTAAAACAAATTAAGATGATTTAAATATCAATTGAATATACTAAGTCAATATTAATTATATTATAATTAGGGTAGGGTCAGACTTGAATTTAATTTTCCCAGTCCACACAACCTTGGATATATTAACAGAAAAGCTATTCTTTTATTAAAATATTTAAAAAAAACAAATATTTGTTGTTTTTAAAATTATTAGAAAGTAAGTCATTTTGATAGCAGGTTGTGAATGACAGCACTCACGATGCATCCTCCCATCTCTGCAGACACTGGCTGTGAAAGCTGTGGTTGCACAGGGTGGTCAACACGCCGTTGACGGACTCGTCCATGCGCTCCAAACACACGGTGCACTTGGGCAGCTCAGTCAGATCCATCACAGGTAAACTGGCCCCCTGGTTTATAATGAAGAGTTTGAGATCATTCAAAACATTCCAGAACACTGCAGCTATTGTTATGCATGTAAATCAGTGCTGGAAACACAACGTGTGTGTGTGTGTGTGTGTGTGTGTTTAAACAGAAACAGCTAGTCAACAACAAAACAGGTTCATCCTGGTCACTCAAGCAATGAATCGGTCTAAAACAATGTTACACTGCCAAGAATTTGAACACTTAGTGTCGTTTGTTCAAATCATAGTAGTTGCATGCTATTAATTTTAGAACCTATTGTAAATAATTACATCTAAAACATAAATGTGGTTGTTCTGAGTATTTTAAATATGTTGATGTGTGGTTGATAAGGTGTTTGGGTGGTTGCCAATAATTTTAACACTTAGCGTTAGTGGTTTGTTCAAATAATAATAATTGCTTGCTTTGGTAATTTGTGACCCTGGAGCACAAAAGCAGTCTTAAGTCGTGGGGTATATTTGTAGCAATAGCCAACAATACATTGTATGGGTCAAAATTATCGATTTTTCTTTTATGCCAAAAATCATTAGGATATTAAGTAAAGATCATGTGCCATGAAGATATTTTGTAAATTTCCTACCATAAATATATCAAAACTTAATTTTTGATTAGTAATATGCATCGCTAAGGACCGATTTTCTCAATATTTAGATTTTTTTGCACCCTCAGATTGCAGATTTTCAAATAGTTGTATCTCGACCAAATATTGTCCTATCTTAACAAACCTTATTTATTCAGCTTTCAGATGATGTATAAATAAAAAAAAATTTTTAATTGACACTTAAAGGGATAGGTCACCCAAAAATGAAGATTAGCTTGTTATTTACTCACCCTCAAGCCATCCTAAGTGTATATGACATTCTTCTTTCAGACAAATACAATCAGAGTTATATTAAATAATGTCCAGGCTAATCTATGATTTATAATGGGAGTGGATGGTAGCCCAAAATTTGAAGTCCAAAAAATTGCACCCAGTCATTATAAAAGAAGCCCACACGGCTTCGGGGGGTTAATAAAGGCCTTCTGAAGCAACGCGATGCGTTTGTGTAAGAAACATATCCATATTTACAACTTTATAAACCTTAATCTCTAGCTTGCGCTAACTGTCGTATGCGCGTTCACGAGAGAGTGGCGTCCAGCGGATGACGTAGGCATAGCGTAAACTCCGGTGAGAATATGCTAGTCTCGCGAGAAACAAGTTTTGTTTACAGCAAAGGAAAACCAGTGTCCACTTGGCTTATATTGAAATCCTCTGACATTTTTCTTTACAAATCCTTGTTTTGTACTACTAATTCGTGACCGGTGTTTTGTTTCGCTCTCTCCTCTGCGCTTCCACATTCGTCACCGCGTTCCGTGTCAGAATGCCTGTTTTTGTTTTGGTCTGTGTGACTCCGCCCACTGCCAATTTACCCAATAGTATTTTGACACCCCGGGTTGCCAGTTCACGGAAATCACAGTGTATTGAAGCCATGGAAACCAGCAAACGATCTCTGGGTCAGAGATCGCAGATTCTAACCGACCTAAAAAGCCTCAGCATCCATCTAAAAAGCTCGACGACCAGAGGAATATTAAAACACGGATGAATCACCTCATCAGCTAACAGTGTAAGGCTTATTGCCTTCCATTGTCAGTTGCGTTTGTTCTGATGCGTTTCCTAATCTGGCAACCCATGTGAGCGCTGAGTCTGAGGAGGCGGCGGCGGGAGAAACAACTCTCCATTATTTTGAATTTGGACTGCAGTACCCATTTCAACCGCTAGCCGTCAATATCACATACTGCACCTTTAAAGGAACACTCCACTATTTTTGAAAATAGGCTCAATGGATTCGAAAACGGTAAAACTAAACTGTTTAACTCTAGGGGAGTTGGAAAATTAGCCTATTTTCAAAAATAGTGGATTGTTCCTTTAAGTAAGTTTCAAACCAATTGTAGTACCTACTAGACAGACCGGGTGTGATTTCAGACACATCATTGGTGGTTTGTTCGAATCATAATGGTTACTTGCTTTGGTAAATGCTACTAACTAACGCACCAGAGTCTTACCTCTTCAGATTTGATGACTTCCGCTCTCTCCACATAGACTAACTGGCAGACAGCATCCTCAATGGAGTTGAACTGACGGCCATTGCATGCTGTGTAGAAGCTGTCGGCATCGGCCTAAAGAAATGAAAAAACACAATTACGGTCAATTCATAAAATACTGAAAATCAAGGAAACTTCAGCAGGCTAATTTGCATGGGTTTATTTTGCAAATCATGTAAATCAAGCAAATCAACTTCTTGTGAAAAGTGTAGCTGCAGGCAGCAATTAATGAGTCTTTACCAGAAAATGCATGAAGGTGTTTTTCTGACGAACTGTGTTGAACACCAAACACCGAATGAGTGAGGATTAGACAGACTAGGGACTCTGAAGATCCTGCGCAGTCAAACTTCAGTTAATTGTAATTGTTCTTTTATGTGGTTAAGTAACTGACCTGACTCCTGAACTTGACCAGCACCATGTACTGGTTGGGCATGGAGTCCCGGATGATCTTCATGTGCTCCATGACGTCATTGAAGGGAGCCACAAACTTCATGAGGTCATGGCTGGTCATGGTGGTGGGTACGGTGAGGATACACAGCATCGCGCTGCGCCGCATGTCCTCTGTGAGCGACGTCATCTTACTGTCAACACCACATTACACAAAACAAGAGCGATGGCTCAGAGTCAACAATGCAACAAATTGTCTATTGATCTAAAAGACAAATTCCATGTTTTTTGTTTGTTTTTGGACAAAGTACTATTGTATATCACCGCAGTATTATTATTAGTATTACAGGGTATTAGTATTAGCATAGAGAGAGAGACAGATAGATAGATAGACAGACAGACAGACAGACGCACTTCCTCCTTCACTGTCATAAATACATATCCATAAGAAACCTCTACTTCAACAAATTCATCAACTTAATAAAGAACTTTACAGCCATTAGTGAAACAGAACAAATAAAGATAATATTAGGAGAGGGACAGACAGCAGCACTGGCTGTGAGACACGTGTGGATGTGCCACACAGCCTGAGACAGCAGGTGAATGTGTATAGTGTGTGTATCTGACCTTAGTAGTTTAATACTTCTAAGATGTTATAATATTCCATTATATTACTGTAATGTTAATTTACTTATTATTATTGTTTTTTTTTCTTTTTGTACATGTATACTAAGCTTTGGCAATATTGTATCATTTACAGTCGTGCCAATAAAGCAGTTTTGAATTGAATTGACAGACAGACCAGACAGACAGATAGACAGACAGAGACAGAGAGACAGACAGACAGAAAGATAGACAGACAGGCAGACAGACAGACAGAAAGATAGACAGACAGACAGACAGACAGACAGACAGATAGATAGATAGATAGATAGATAGATAGATAGATAGATAGATAGATAGATAGATAGATAGATAGATAGATAGATAGATAGATAGATAGATAGATAGATAGATAGATAGATAGATAGATAGATAGATAGATAGATAGATAGATAGATAGATAGATAGATAGATAGATAGATAGATAGATAGATAGATAGATAGATAGATAGATAGATAGATAGATAGATAGATAGATAGATAGATAGATAGATAGATAGATAGATAGATAGATAGATAGATAGATAGATAGATAGATAGATAGATAGATAGATAGATAGATAGATAGATAGATAGATAGATAGATAGATAGATAGATAGATAGATAGATAGATAGATAGATAGATAGATAGATAGATAGATAGATAGATAGATAGATAGATAGATAGATAGATAGATAGATAGATAGATAGATAGATAGATAGATAGATAGATAGATAGATAGATAGATAGATAGATAGATAGATAGATAGATAGATAGATAGATAGATAGATAGATAGATAGATAGATAGATAGATAGATAGATAGATAGATAGATAGATAGATAGATAGATAGATAGATAGATAGATAGATAGATAGATAGATAGATAGATAGATAGATAGATAGATAGATAGATAGATAGATAGATAGATAGATAGATAGATAGATAGATAGATAGATAGATAGATAGATAGATAGATAGATAGATAGATAGATAGATAGATAGATAGATAGATAGATAGATAGATAGATAGATAGATAGATAGATAGATAGATAGATAGATAGATAGATAGATAGATAGATAGATAGATAGATAGATAGATAGATAGATAGATAGATAGATAGATAGATAGATAGATAGATAGATAGATAGATAGATAGATAGATAGATAGATAGATAGATAGATAGATAGATAGATAGATAGATAGATAGATAGATAGATAGATAGATAGATAGATAGATAGATAGATAGATAGATAGATAGATAGATAGATAGATAGATAGATAGATAGATAGATAGATAGATAGATAGATAGATAGATAGACAGACAGACAGAGAGACAGACAGATAGACAGATAGATAGACAGACATATAGACAGAAAGACGGACGGACGGACGGACGGACGGATGGATAGACAGACAGACAGATAGATAGATAGATAGATAGATAGATAGATAGATAGATAGATAGATAGATAGAT